AAAAAAAAAAAAAAAAAAAAAAAAAGAAGAAGAAGAAGAAGAAGAAGACGGAAAGAAAATATTCAGGGAAAAATAACTTTCGTAGCAATGGGATTATGGGCATGTGCCACCATGCATGGCCAGTGACTTAGATTTTGACATTAATTTTGTTTTGTTTTGGTACTGGGGATCAAACTCGGGTCCTTGCACTTGCAAGGCAGGTGGCAGCACCACTTGAGCTAAATCCCCGGCCCCGATTTTGATACTAATTTTGAGGGGACAAGGGAAGCTGAATCAAAACGTCTTGCTGGGGGTGAGCGGCTTGAAGTTTCATCTCAGGGCTGGAGGAGCAAAGTATGTAGGGTGGGAAGATAAGTCATGGCTTCAGAGTTGGTCCTTGTTTGTTTGTTTGTTTGTTTGGTGCCAGGGATTGAACTTGGATCCTTGTGATTGCAAGGCAGGCCACAGAAGTGCTGAGCTAAATCCCCGGCCCTGGTCCTTATTTTTAACAGTGGAGGAGAAAGAGAAGTCAGAAGAGAGAAAGAGTAGGGTAGGATCTTAAGGGGGACTATATGGTCACAGGAGGCTGATGGCCACAGGAGCATCAGTTCCTTCAGTTCATAAAAGACTGAGCCTGGCACCGTGGTGCACACCTGTAAACCCAGTACTCTGGGAGGCTGAGGCAGGAGGATTTCAAACTCAAGCCCAAACCGGTCAGTTTAACTTTAGTGAGACCCTGCCTCAAAAAAAAAAAGGACTGAGGATGTAACACAGTATGAAGGGGTTGTCAATCCCCAGCACTGCAATAAACAAAAGGCTGAGAGTCCACTGATGGGTAGAAGTGTGTCAGGAAATACTCTCTCATTTCCTGTAAAGCTCCGGGTGTCAGGAGCAGAACTTCTGGAGAGGGAAACTAGCTCATCCTCTCTCCTGTCCTGCCAGAGTTGGGAACACTAGCCTCTGTTCCCGAGTGCCCTACCTTTTTTTAGGGGTCTTTGCTTAAATCCCATTTCCTGCGGGCAGCAAGCATTCAGTTCTTGGGGCCTCAGTTTCCTCACCTGGAAGAGGATGCTGAGTCATCGCTAAGGCTCTGCTTTGTCTTGGGAGCCCTTGCTGTGGCCCGGCGGGCATGACGTAGGGTGACTCCTTTCCTCTCCACAGTGCGCAGCGCCTCAAGTTCCGGCTGAACCTATACGAGCTGAAGGAGGGGCGGCAGATCAAGCCCTACACCCTCATGAGCATGGTGGCTAACCTGCTGTATGAGAGGCGGTGAGTGGGGTGCAGCCCAGGACGGGGAACAGCATGGGGGTGCGGGAGGCTCTCTGCAGTAAGCTGGCTTATTTCAGGAAAAGGCAAGGGTCACCACAGTAGAGGTGCACACCTGTCATCCGGGCTGCTCAGGAGGCTGAGGCAGGAGGATCGCAAATTCAAGCCTAGTCTGGGCAACTTAACAATTTAGAGAGACACTGTCTCAAAATAGAATAAAAAGGGCTGGGGGTGTAGCTCAGTGATGGAGGGCTTGCCTAGGATGCAGAAGACCCTGGGCTCATCTGTAGAACCTCAAAAAACAATAGAAACCAAGAAGGCAGGGAATGCAAATAGCAGATGAAGCTGCTTCTTGTCCCAGCAAGGAGTGTTCGGGGTCCCTGGCCAGGACCTGCCCTCAAAGCACCCCATCTCTGCCGGAAGTGGCATGGGATTTTGGAGGAGGTTAGGCTTTATCAGGACAATTCAGATCCTTACAAACCTTCCTGGCAAAATGGCTGGCTGGCCAGGGTATGAATTTAAGCTTTTTCTTTTTCACCTTTAAGTTTGAAATAATTTTAGATTTCATAGAAAGGTTATATGCCAGGCATGGTGGTGCATGCCTATGATCCTACCATTCAGGAGGCTGAGGCAGGAGGATCACGGCAAGTTCAACACCGGCCTGGGGAACATAGCAAAATCCCTGTCTCAAAAAACAAACAAACAAACAAACAAAAATAAAAAACTATATATATATTATTCTTTAGCTTTCAAAATTGAAAGTTTCCTGTTTGCATGCATACCTGTGCTAATTTGTTTATTTTCTTTTTTCCTTTTGGCCATACTGGAGATTAAACCCAGGGCTTTCATACACATCCCCAGCCCTTTTCTTAATTTTTTTTATCAGAAATGGGCTTGCTAAGTTGCCCAGGTGGGATTCGAACTTTAATCCTCCTCCCAGCTTCCCAGAGTGCTGGGGTTACAGGTGTGTGCCACCGTGCCCAGCTTAAACTGCTTTTTATAAAGCTAATACTGAAGATTTTGCCCTTAGAACTACAGGCTGGAAGACATGGGAAATGCCTGCCCTTACTGCTTGTAAGCCACTAGTTACCAAATACTTTATGCATAAAGACCCCTGAAACAGATCACTCAGCACTCAGTGTCTAGAACAAGTTTCCAGCAAGCTGCCGTCTCCTCTTTGCAGACCATCAGATTAACTCAGTCCACTAAAAATCCTTCCTTGCCTTGCCTGTTGGGAGGCTCAGAACCAGACTTCAGTGTGAATGTCTTGCAGTCTCTTAAGAGTTTTGTTTGTCAGTCAGTGTTTTTCCTACAAACAGCCCCAGACACTTCCTGAAAGAGTAGAGGTTTCTGTGAGATCTGCTCTTACCGAAGTGGATTAAGGGTGAAAATAGCCAAATCCAAGAACCAGGCGACCTTCCAGTCTCCCTGATGCGTGGTCTCTGTAGTTCTGAGAAGCAAATCTGCGCAATAAAACAGCAAGGACTGTCTGGTGTGTGTGTCTGTCTGTCTGTCTGTAAGGCTAATCATCTCTGAGCAATGATGAGAAAAGATTTTACCATCGTCCTTTGTAACTATAAAGCTTTCTGTACTTGCCCTGAGGTCAGAATTGAAAAAAGAAAATAAAGGAGCAGAGGTATAAATGTAGGAACAGAAGTGAACAGTGGTGGGACTTCTTCAGACTAGGAAAGAGGAGAAGAAAGCAGAATTTCCAATAAGAGAGGAGGCTGGGGAGCAAGGCGAGAGGTGCCCGCTCCCAGAGGCCCAGGGCGAACGGCTGGCTGCACAGAGCGGCAGGGTGGCCCGGGCAGCCCTGACCGTGCTTGCTCTGCCCTGACGCCACAGGTTCGGTCCCTACTACACGGAGCCGGTGATCGCTGGGCTGGACCCCAAGACCTTCAAGCCCTTCATCTGCTCCCTGGACCTCATCGGCTGCCCCATGGTGACTGACGACTTTGTGGTCAGTGGCACCTGCTCGGAGCAGATGTATGGCATGTGCGAGTCCCTCTGGGAGCCCCACATGGTGAGCAGCTGGCGTGGGAGAACGCGGGTCCCTGCGGCCTCCACGGGCTCTTGGGGCCCTGCAGCAGGAGGTCTGGGTTCGAAGCCCGGTTAACGTGGGGCTGAGTTATTTGAGTCACTGTGCCCCGTGCCCGAGACGAAGTGGGGAGAAGGTCCTGGGGGGGACAGCGTGCTGGGAGCAGGGGAAGGAGAGGGCCTGGGGCCAGGGCGGAGCCGAGCAAAGGCAGGGGAAGGCCAGGCAAGCTGGTGACCCAGGAGGCAAAGAGGCAGGGCGTCGGATGCCAGGAGGCCGGGACGCAGGCTGGGTCGGGACTTCAGGGGACCTTGAAGTCCGCACCCCCACGGTCGCGCTGCTGGCTCGCAGGGAGATGCCATGCCAGGACCCTTCACATGGTGCCGTTCCTTCCAAGAATTCCCCGAGGCTGGGGACCCGGTGCCCCAAAAGGAGGGGTGGGTGGGGCCCGAGCAGGGCTCTGCAAGGCGCTGCTGTGTTGCAGGACCCGGAGCACCTGTTCGAAACCATCTCCCAAGCCATGCTGAACGCCGTGGACCGCGACGCTGTGTCGGGCATGGGTGTCGTCGTGCACGTCATGTGAGTGGGCCGCTGGGACGGGCCAGGCAGAGGCGCGGTGGCCAGAGCCCGCGCCTCCTCCCCTGGTGTCCCCAGTGTCCGGGGCCCCGCTGACTCCTAGCTCGCTGCGCCGCACTCTGGGCACCGTTTGCTACCGGAGCCGACTGAGCAGGTGTCCTGCCGGCTGCATCCCGGGTCAGAGACGGCACCCGGCCCGTTCCTCACGACCCCTGCTAGCTTACCATAAAGAGCACAGCTGACCACCCGGTTCCTGTATGTCCCTGGGGTCACGCACGCACGCACGCACCCTAAGCTGGCCACGGAGCCCATCCTGGCGCTCCCCAGGCAGCCGCTCTGCCACCGAGCCAGCTGTTCCCAGGCCTGGGCGCGCTTCCCTTCTCTCGTCCAGCCCTGAGCCGTCTTCCGGGAGAAGCTCCCCTTCCCCTAGGTGGCCACCCTAGGGCAGCATGGCACCCTCAGAGGGCGAGGTGCCCAGGGCTGTGGAGCTTGGCCGGGTCACAGTTAGCTACTCCACGTTTGTGATTTTTCTCCCTCTGCAGTGAGAAGGACAAGATCACCACCAGGACCCTCAAGGCCCGGATGGACTAGCCCTGTTCTAGAACCTTTTTTTTTTTTTTCTTTCCTTTTTTTAAAATAAAGTAGCCTTTATTTCATTCCTGCCTTGTCGTCTTGGGTGCTTTCCCACCGTTCTCTGCCCCGCCTGGGCAGTTACAAACACCTAGAGCTTCACTCAGCTCTGTTTCCTTTTTCTCGCTGCAGGAGGTTGCACCCCGGGCTTCGCGCATGTGCTCTCCCAGGAGGGCTGTCTTCTCGAGCTGGCCTCTGCGCTGTGGGAGTGACAGACGCCGGCGCTGTGCCCTCGGGCATTAAATCCTGCAGAGCCCATAGAGACGAAGGGCCGTTAAACAGCTCCTCAAGGCCACGTTAGTCAGGGGTGCCAGGATGCCAGCTGTGTTCCCCCAGTGCCGAAGCCCGACCTCCCCACACTCGCCAGAACACCAAGACTTGGGTTGCTGTTTCAGGCAGAGAGGCGGCCCGGTGCCACAGTCCCATCGAGACAGGGCTTTTCCCTCAGTGGGCCCTGCTGGCAACCTCAGGAGACACCCCAGCGAAGAGGTGGGCTCTTGGTACAGTGCTCCCAAGTATGAGCCTCTTCAGAAGTGCCTAGGGTGCGTATTTCAGCACATGCTTTGTTTTGGTTTTTTGCGGCCCTGAGGATTGGACACATTGGGCCTCTTGCACAGGGGCAAATACTCTGTCATTAGAGCCACATCCCAGGCTAGGCTCCTGTGACCCTCTTGCCTCAGCCTCTGGAGTGCTAGACTGGGTGTGTACACTGTGCCCATCCGTTTTTGTGTGTGGTCCTGAGCTACCTCCCCAGCCCTTTATTTAGAGGCAGGGTCTTTCTTACTAAGTTGCTCACCCTGGGCTTGCACTTGCCATCCTCCTGCCTCGGCCTCCTGAGTGCCGGGGTTACAGGCGTGTGCCAGATCTGGGTGAGACTAGGGTGCTGTGATTCTGCCGGGCCAGCATGGCACACAGCAGCAGAGGTTCAGCTGGAATCTTCTGAAGAGTGGGAGGCAGAGGCCCCACCCAGCTGGGTGCTGGTTCCAGGCTGTGTCCTGAGGCTGCTGCGCTCTCAGCCCGCTCCCTGCATCTGACCATGGGAGTCAGTGCCCGCTTCCTCTTCCACACACAGACCACCCATCCACTGACTGCCAAGCGACGCTGGCCAAAACCTGCCAAAAGACCACACGGCGGTGTACACAAAGCTTTTACAGTTTATTTTCCCTCGGGATGGAGAGGCATCTTAACACGCATGCAGTTTAAAACAGGAACGGGCTCGGACTGTTTAGAGCAGACATTAGACAAGCACAGGGGGCTGAAAATTCCTCTTTAAAAAATGGAACTTGCAGTGGAGACACGTGTGGTGGGTGGCAGCTTCTGCCCCCAGAGCGCGACCGGGAACTTTGTTCGTGATGATCAGACCCCGTGCTTGGGCTGCTGAGCAGCACGGGCTCCCGAGGCTGCAGCAGGACAAGGCCACTTCTAGAAGCTTCCTCCCCAGCCGCCCCCAGGCGTCTCAGCATATCCTGTGAGCCGGCCGACTGTCCGTTCCCGTGGGGAACCCTGTGCGGCACATCTGGAGGACGGCCGGGCCACGTCAGCCCCGTGCAGGTGGCTGGCAGATGGGGCTGCTGCCTTTGAGGCCCCCTTCGTACACTGCTGCCATGAGGCGAGGTCTCAAGATGAGGGAGCCCCGAGTCGGGGGCTAGAGCTGAGGATCCCCTTGGCCCCAACACTTGAGCAGCTCGAATGCTGGGGGTGGTGAAACCTGTCTTCTGAACCACTAAGACAACTGGGGTGGGACAGGCTACCGAGAAAGGCCTGGGTCTTTGGTCACCTCCCTTGGGCAGGCGTGGCCAGCTGAGAGCGCAAGGTCTCTGGCCCTGGGCGCTGCCAAGGCCCGCGTGGGCCTGGGGCACAGGGAAGGGTGGAGAAAAGAGCAAGGAGGAGCTGCCTGTGGTGGGAACGCAAGCGCCACTCATGGTGCCGGCCACAGACCAGTAACCCTGAGCTAGATGAGGACAGCGCTGCCCCCAGAACTGCTGGCCGCCTGGCTGCCTGGGCCCCACCCCAGGGCGCAGGAAAGGAGCTGGCATGGGGATGCAGAGACCAGTGGTTTATTAGTGGAACATGGGCCAGGCTGTCAGCCAGAGGTCTGCAGGGGGTTGGGGGACAAGTTTCCAAGCTATGAACTTTCCAGAAGGACAGGGACGAGGACGGGAAAAACTGACCAGATGCTCCCTGTCGGTGGCAAAGTGAAGGTACAGAGTGGAACCTGCCCTTACGCCTGCCGAGGCCTCAGCCCTTGGCCGCGCACTTGTCCCTGCACCTCTGTTCCAGAGTCCGAAGCATTCTAGGATGACCAGGAAGGGAGCCAGAAAGGCAGGGACCAGTTGTCTTTCAGACCGCAAGCCAAACAGAACGTCTTTATCATCAAAACAGAGAGAGAGAAAACACTCATGTAAATCAAGATAAATAGCTTTGAAACATCTGGATGCCAAGAGGGAATCAGAGGGCCAGACCCAAGGTTTTGAAGATAGCACAAAGAATGACCTTTAAAAAAAACCCACCAAACCCACAGCTCAAATGTCTCGACCCAATCAACAATACTGTCAGAAAAACAAAAAGAGCATTTGAAACAGAATGCCACCTCTCAAAATGTAAACAATATACAAAAAAAAAAAAAATGTCCACAAAAACTCCATGTTACACACGTCAGATGCCTGGCAGTCACGTAACTGGCAGGATGCGCGACACCCGGGACACAGTGTGGCAACGTGACTGGGCCGAGGCAGCGGGGCCTGTCGGGGAGCAGATCAACTTCACTCTTGATTACGAGGTGGGGAAATCGAGTCCAAACGTCATTCCTACGTGATTCCTTTCCTAAGTCCAACTCCTCTCCACAGCCGAGGGCTTCCAAGTGCTTCCAGTGGTCACTCGGAGCCGCCTCTGTCCTTCCTGGAGCCTGGGCAGTGGTCTGGGGAGGGGACTCCCCTAATCCTGCAGTCCAGCAAGGTCCTGGCCACCTGCGGGCCCCACAGCTCCTGCCGCAGGCAGAGCTGGCCGGCTGGGGCGTCTCCCTTCCGTGCTCCCCGAGCCGACTCCACCCTCCAGGTCAGCCCTCTTGCCAGTCCCGGGTTCCGGCGTGGGGCTGGGGAGATGTCACCTCTCCTTCTGAGTGGACTGGCTGCTCCGATGGCAGCAGGACAGCGGGCCCTTTCTGAGGGCAGGGGCTGTGAGGCTGCTCTTCCCTCCCAGGAAGCCACGGTCTGGGGTTAGGGGCTGGGCGAGGTCGGGTCACACCCTCCGGCCTCTCAGAAGCGAGCCCGGGCTTGGCCACCACATCCAAGGCGAGGACTCTGACGCTGTAACCGTCCAGGTGAGAAAGCTGGGACCTGGCAGCCTGGGGCCTGGCGAGGGGTCTGCAAAGAGCACCTGGCGCTCGGAGCTCCTGCCTGGTGACGGCCAGCCATGGGGGCGGGCACCGGGCCAAGAGGAAGGGAAGGAGGTGTGAACAAAACCTCACTCGACAGTCAGTTTCTGGGGTTCGCCACGGGGACAGCATTTAGACACCGGGCCCCCTCGGCCAAAGGGGCCTTACAGTCCTCTAGAGCTCGACGGCAAGCACAGCCCAGCGAGCCCGAGCGGACCTGCTCCCCCCAGAGCTCCCTGCCCCTGGAGATGGCGGAGGAGTAAAGCGGAGCATTTCACCTGGACTCAGCGGGGAGGTGAAACGGCCCGCGGCACTCC